ACTGCGGGGCTGAGAGGGGAGGGGGCTCCATGCAATGCTGCCTGCCCCAGAGTGGGGGTGGGGGGGAGGGGGAGGCTCTGTTCCATGCTGGGGGGAACTCTTCTCCCTCCATTTCCTCCTCCCATAGGAGCAGCGGGAGCGCAAAGCTTAGCTGCGCTGGGTGTGGGTGTGTGGAGTGTGAGGGAGAGTGGGGGGTGTAGGGACCCCCACACACTTCACCCATGCCATTCAGGCCTCGCTGTCTTGGTGCAGCAGCAGGTGGGGAGGTCAGGGTGGTCGTGCTCTGCTCCCTGAGCATGAGCCTGCAGCTCCAGCCCTTGCAGCGGGGGAAGCCCCATGCTGGAGCCAGCTGCTTCCCCCAGTCCCTGCTGTGCAGGGCCTCGCACTCTGCCAGGAGTGGAGGGAGCCTCGCCCCCTGCTTCCCCAGAGAGACCAGCATGGGGTTTCCCCGTGAGAGTGTGGAGCTGCAGGAGTGGTGTGGCACCCCCCTTCAGCTCAGCTTCCCTGTGGAAGGGAGGGCTTCTCTAGTGCCCCCGGGCTTCTGGCTTGAGCCACTGCAGGCATGTACTGAATGTCTAGTCACTTGCAAACAAGTTCACTCTCTGCAGGTTAGACTAACCTGCAAAGACTGAATCAATTCAGGCTCAGGTTGTTTGAATATCTGTTCCTAGCCCAGAAGCCTCCTACATTAAAGGTTAATACTCATTCTTGCCTGCACAGCTCTTAGTTGGGCTCTAGGGGGCTGGTGAGCAGGGGCATGGCTAGGCTCTATCCCTGGTGTGCGGAGGGGCAGGGAGCTAGGAATGATGCATCCTGGGATGTTAGAGGATTGGAAATTGCTCAGTTTATCTCTGTGGAGGAGCCTGAAGGTACCTAACACGAGCTAGGTAGCATATCCCAGAGTTAATCCTTGCCCGACGTAGTGTAACTTTGAGATGCTCAGGAGGCACTTAGCATGACTTAACAAGATTCAGCGTGCAGATGCTTGCAGTTTAAGTGCCTTTATTATGGTTTAAATGCAATGTGTAACTTCACTCTGAGAACCAGTATGATAGTACAGGCAGTCCTCGATTTACAACATTTCGAGTTACAACATTTCGCACTTACATTTATAAATTGACACCCTGTTTCAACTTTTAGATGTCATTTTTGACTTTACAACACTTGATTTGATGCAACACCATGCCAGTGAACAAGTTCACTGCGTTATCTGTCTACCTGGAGAACATCTGTCCAAACTTCCTTGGACACTTTCTTTAAGAAAGCAGACAAGGCTCCAGAAAAACCTGCAGCCAAGACTCCTGAGAAGACTCCAGCCAAGAACTCTTTAAAAAGTCCAACCAAGAGCCTTTCAAAAAGTTCAGCAAAGTCACCTCAAAGAAGTCCTTCCAAATCAATATGATTGCTATTTACAATATAAATACATTAATGTAGCTGTATTACTCATCTGTAATTGATTGAGAACAAAATTCTGGGGTATTTTTGGTGAAAATAGGGTATCAGACCGTGGTTCAGGAACCAGCCCATTTATAACATTGTTTCTTATGAGAAGATTGGTTCCGAGTTACAATGTTTCGACTTAAGATGCAGTTTACAGGAACTAATTGTGTCCTAAGTCCGAGGACTGCCTGTAAACAAAAATTACAAGTGACCACTCTACTTTTATCCTTGAGATGATGGTGGTAACATGGAGACAAAAAGGGGGCAGAAACACTAGGAGTTCCAGGATTTGTCAGCACAGATGAAATCGGAGGTCTGCCCAAGCATAGCAGCCAGTGGAGGCTTATACATCAACACCATAATGCAGCTCCATGCACTATTTCTAGCTTCTAAACATAGACGCTAAATGTCATTTTCAGAAATATCTTATCTTTTCTTCTCCCTGTCCAGCGGTGAGATTTCTTTTTGCCTTCTGCAGGAACAGAGTTTTTCATTCTGTCAGCAGCACATTCACTAGCTCCTTCCACAAGCTCATATCCAAATGCCGGGCCACTTCATAAAATGCCTTGTGTCAGCTGGCAGAAGCAGTGAGAACATTTATATTTATTGCATGCATGTGTGTGATCTACGATCCTGTAGCAATCCTCTTTGTGCTTGCTTTATATGCATATATAGAACATAACATATAGAGCAAGAGGTCATGTTACACACAGAAAGATCAGCTTGATTTTCTTGGCTTATATTGGCAGTTTTTCTTTCCCTTTTTTAAAAAGCCCCTGGTTATTTTCCCTACCAGCTCTTGACATTCCTGTGCAATTATTCATTTGCATTGGAAAGCTGAAGTTATTATTTCTCAAAAGAGCACATATAGTCCAACAAGTCTGTCTCATAATTCTGTTCAAAGAATGACAGTCACAAAGTAAACCAATCCTTTCTCATCTGCCCGCTGTTGGAACTATTTTCCCATCCAAGGGAAGCTTAGAGGACCTCACAGATTTAACTACATCATATGCTGAAATTGGATCACCAGCTGTAGTCTGGCAGATGAAGTGGATCTGTGTGGTCCTCCAGCTGTACAGAATGCTTTTACTTATGAAACTTTTTCTGCTCAGTATGAAGGGAATCTTGTTATCTGATGGCTTTTTCTTGCATTTCAGTATTATGGACATAGAAAAATAATCTGATGTTAATAACACCAGTAAAAATATGGGACAGCTCCATGAGCTAGAATCATTCATTGGGTTGCATTGATGGACCCCAAGCTGTGGGCTCCCAGTGATGGAAAGCATGCCGTCCATGAAGGTATAAGGCACATCACGCTCCTGCTAAGAAATAAAGGGCTGGCTAATTCTCCTCAGAAAAAGAGAAATCTAACAAGGCTGGTTGCAAATCAGGCCATTCAAGATCTGTGTGGAGTTTTAAAGCTGCCCTCTTTTGTGACAGTCATAACTCCAATACAGCTGCCCCTTAGTGTACAGAGGATGAATTTGGCTCGCTGACTTCAGCTGAGTCATTCCAGATTTATAACAAAGAAACTGAGAGCAGAATTTGGGGCTGGTATGCATTTCACTAGAGCACTGATTCAGTATTTGTTAGAGCACAAGAAATAGAGGGAAGCTTGGGCGACTGGTGCCTCCTAAGTCTGGGGGTCACCTGCAGAAGCCACCGGTGGTGGCAGGGACGGGGCTGGCGAGCATCCGCAGAAGCTGCCAGTGGTATCGGCAGCAGGGACATCCCTGTCAGGGGGGCACATGCCCACAATGTGCCCTTCCTACCAGTCACCTATTGAGGGAAGTCAGTGGAAGTTCCCAGTTCTCTGGCCTATTTCTTAGAAGAAGTACCAAGTAATACAGTTATGTGACCTCTTCTACACATGCAGGAAAAGCCCGATCTTGGGTTCCCCCTGTACTGGCAAGAAGCAGGCTCCCAGCTGCTGGGGTCACACAGAGCCAGGACTGAGAGACTGCGCACCTGATGGGGCTCCCAGTACTGGCTGTGCCTTTCACGCAGCTGGGACTGAGAGTCCTGTCAGTTGTGGGACTCTTGGTCCTGGCTGCAAATGTAGCATACCTGGGACTGAAAGCTCCCTGTTGGCTGGGGTTTCATGCACCCGCAAGCCCTGGGGATCATGGCAGCTGCATTCCCCAGGGCTTGGGGGTTATATGTTGGGCATGGTGCACCTCTGCAGCTGGGAGCCCTGTTATCTGACAGGTTCCCAGGCACAAGGAAGACACTATTACATGTGTGTAAATTAAAGATCAATAGTAACCAGCTATAAAGTTAGTCCATATTTTTTAGGTCTAACTTTATAGCTGGTTGCCACTTTTTATCATGTGATAGCTACTTTACATGTGTAGTTGGTCTTAAGGTACTTGCACAATTAACCAGTTAATTGTGCAATACCTGTAACATGTAGAGGGAGCCAAGAATGAATATTTAAATGTTTTTATAGCACTAAAAACAGATGGTTAACTTCTACTCTCAAGTGCATAGGTGTAAATCCTGATGAAAGCTAATGACTTCCTAACTAGTATGCAAGTTCATTCTGCTATTAGTTGCATTTTCTCGCACCATAAATTCTACTACATAATTTATGTACTACATGCATTTCTTTCCTGCCTTGATGTTTACTACTCTTATGCATTTGCAGACTGTTCTCTTTAGTCATCTCTTAGCCAACCTAAATATATTTAACTGTTTTCTCAAAAACCAATCCCTCTACTTCCCTGGTTATTTTGTTCCTCTTTTCAGAAGTCATTCCAAATTTTCCATCTCCTTTGGGTGAAGATGTGTCTAGAACTAAATTCACCATGCCAGGCATGGGCATTATGGAGCCAAGCAACCAGGGACTATTGTGTTCGTGCTCCTTGACATAATTCCTCTCAACGTGGTATGGGCCTTGATGCTGTTTTCCTGGATTCTGCTTTGTATTTGTGCTTCAGATTATTTTTTTGCTCCTGTCTGACATTTTTCCATGTTCAGCTGCATTTGCTATTATCTATCCTTATTCCTAACCTCTCGACAATGGGTTCTCTGTCCTCAAAGGTATCTTTTCTCTTTCTTGATTAATATCATCTCTGAATTTCAGTGTCATGCTATTTTCTCCCTCTTCCTGATTATTAATAAAAATATTATATAAAACCAGGCCCAACTTCCAATTTCTGTGGTAACCTATTGCATGCTTTGCCCACCTTCCCATGATTTTGCAAATGCAATTGCCACTGATGCAATTATTTGTATATAAATACTTAACGTCATGGGGATGTTAAAACTAGGGTACTAACTGGCTTGTGCGTGGGGGAATTAAGCATAGTAACTACTCAGCTCTGACAAAAATTATCCTAAAAATACATTGAAAACTCTTATTTAATCTCCCTCCTTTAGATCAGAGTCTGCTTTAAAAGGATGTGTGGGCAGAACAGGAATTTTTACAGTTGGAGCAACCTGTGAGGTTTAACATTCTACTTATGGAGACCATCAAAAGGGAATTTTGCAATTGTTTTTTCCCAACAGACTTCTGTAGGTATTTTATTATTTTTATTCATATGCTTGCCCAGCAGGAGTCAGTATAACACATAAAAGCATCTCCTACAAATCAGTGATAGGTAGGTGAGCCTGATCCAGTGGAGCTGGGATGGTTGCTGCTGGTGTGGTTGAGAGAAGAGATGGCCCTGCTCACAGGTTACTAAGCAGCCAGTCCAGCACTGGCATTCGAGTAATGTTTCCCAGGGCTTCTTCTAGCTGCTTCTCCTTCTCATACTTCAGCACAGCCTGAATAATTTCCCCCACACTATATCCCTTCTCCATGGCTATTGAGGACAATTGCTGAATCTGCACAAAGGAGAAATAAAACAAAATACAAATGATGACATACCATAAATCTTTCTTTAAAGGACCAGTTCTGGGGTGAGGCTATTGGAGGTTCCTCTTGTTCACTTACTTCTGCACTCCCCTCTGAGATCTATGATATCCCACAATAAAGGCCAAGTGTTGCAAGAGGCTGACTTAAATAGTGATGATGAAAAGAGGCACAGAGCCCTAATGTGGTTAGGTCATTGGTAAGTGGGGACATGATAATCATTCACAAAATACTAAAACAAATGTTAATGTATTAATTAGTGTAATACATGGACAAAATCACTGGGTGAATTGAGAGAAAGCTAATGAAGAGAAAATTTAGGCTGGACATCAAAAAACTCTTTATTAGCTGCTACTCGTTACAAATGTCCAAAATCCTACTCTTGTTACACACTTATTTTGAACGAGGCTCGCTCTTCCTGAGATGAACAGGGTTTGACCTAAAACAAAATGCCATGCACTGTGGAACTAAGTGTTGAGTTTAGAGCACAGTTGTTCAAGAAATGCTTACATTCATAGCACAACAGAAAAGCAGGACTGAAAGGGACCTCTACAGGTCATTTAGTCCAGTACACTGCTGAACATAGGATCACTCCTGTCTAAGTCATTTTAAGAAAGTGTTTCTTGGCACCTATCACTCTTGAAAAACAATTTGGCTTCATTTTTTGTATCTGTTATTTATGAAAAGGAGAACAAATTGTGTTCTGAGAGTCAAGGATAGCACAGTAGACCACTGAAGAAGGAAATTACAATGGTTCTGGAGATAGGCTCTTCTTAGACTGACCTTCTCCAAGTACCTCCCGGTTTCTGGCAAGTCATTCTAGGTCTGATTTTTTTTTTTTTTTTTAGCATTTAGAAAATCAAAGGTACGTGAAAATGTGCCACATGTTATACTCTGAAAAGTGTCTTTACCCAAACCACTCAGCTACCTTTCAAGTACTTAAGGATTTTCTTCCATGCAAGCCATGCCCACATAGACTATTGATGGCAAGCATCATGTCCTAGCTCCTAAGGTATTACAGTCTGGCATGAAATAAATCCCTTTTTTAAAATTATGTACATATGTAATTGGACAGCAGACTTTAGCTAAACTCTACAGTGACAATAAAAGCATCTGATGAAGTGAGCTCTTGCTCATGAAAGCTTATGTATCTGATTCAGTTTAGAAAGTAAATCTCTACCCTGCCATCTGTCTGTCTGATTTCAGACCAACACAGCTAACTACCTCTCTCTGCTCAATACAATCATAGTCACTTCCAGGAAAAAAAAAATCCCTTTTCATTCCTTATTTATTTATTTTTAAACCACCATGAAGAAAACAGAAATAAAATGCCAAAAAGCAAGACTGAGACAAAAAAAAATTTACTCAAAGGAAGTGTCTGGAAATTCAATGGTAAGGGGGAAGCTAAGCATTAACCTGTCATACTGAAGTATCACAGCAGGTGGAGGAACACCCATAGTTTGAAGGCTATGGAAAACAACAATAGAGCGGAATTTGTGGAAGTAATCTGTAGGGTATGTGCTTGTTTATGGGCATGAACTGGGAATGGCTCTCCTGGATTTTCTTAGGTTCTTGGTCTAGTTTCTAGTGCGGGAAATGAAGGCCTCCCATTGCCTTCAATGGGTTATGGATTCCTATGCTTTTAAGACTGGGGAAAGTTTGTATCTCAGCCTGAGCTTTGTGGCACTGGACCCAAAATGGAAAATGAAACAACATTACAGTCCCAGCTTAATTACACAAATTAAGAAAATGAAACCTGAAACAAGACCTGTTACTATTGACCTCTACAAACCTGGCTCCTGACCTGTGGATTTGGTTGAATAATCTGTTAAATGACCCAAGTAATACGTATTTCTGTTTTTAAATGTCCTGTGTGTATAAAGCAAAATTTCACAGCAACCTGAAAGTAAAACTGAGTACACAAAGACTGAAACTGATTTTCATTGCTCATACAGAGAGAAATACAAAAAGTAAACAGAGCAAATACAGTGAAAAGTAATTTGGGTTTTAAACTCTTTTGGTGTTAAGAATGGGCCAAATTTTTAATGAGAGAGAAAAATGGAGTGTATACAATCTGTAACTTCTGAGTTGTTAGCACCCTTCTATAAGATGGATTTAGCATGAAAAGTTTATTTCACAAAATAATATTTCCCACTATTAAGAGTGTAAAAGGGAAGTGATGGAAACAAAGTGGTGTGGTCCATTTAAAGTAGACTAATTAAAGTAGCAGAGAGTGCACTGTAAAGAAAAGTTCTGCTCTGACCAGTGATGAGCTACTGCCATCAGTACTACATTGAATACTAGTCTAGACAGCGAAAATGTCAAAAATTCAGCTTTTCTTAGCAACTAAACTTGTGTCTTCTGCAGGATAATAGAAAACAGAAGTATTTAAATGCCACCATGTTCTAACATCCCTGACCATTCTCCAGTTGCTGCATTACTTACCTTATTCAGAAACTCATCATCCTCATCCAAGAAGTATAATACCGGCACATTTGTCTGAGAGGCAGCCACCCACTGGAGGATGGAATAGAGCTGTTTCTTATGTATGTTGTCGGGGGGATTCTGATTCATTACTATCACTTTGCGACCAGAAGCACTGTCTTCTCCTGACCCCAAAGCAGCATCAGCTGCCCCTGGACTCCTAGAATCCATACCTCCCATGCCATCTTCCCCATTCCCTATCTCTGCTAGAGCAGACTCAGGGTTGCTATATTTGGCTATCATAAGACACAACTTTGTGACGGTATCAACCAAGCTATCAATAAATTGTCCGCTGCTCCCCTCTTTTCCTCTTAGGTCAAACTGATTGGTAATCATTTTTGTCAGTCCAGAAATAGCATCCTCACAGGACTGTTCAGTTTCTGAATGGACAGAAGAGGCATGTCCCTCAGAATTTTTGCCAGGATCCCTGTTCGGTTCATCCATCGCTGAATTTCCTGGCTGTCCTTCTGATTTGCAGCCAGACTCATTGATTAACTTCTGGATTAGCGTTAAGATGGCACTAGACATGCCATTTTCAGGGTTCTGCTTTTGAAGATCTGACTTCTCAGAATCTGATTCATCAGCTTGGGCTGATGGATCTTGATCATTTGCTGAAGATAGCCTGAACTTCTTGTCACCACCTTTGTCCTGGGACTGCTGAGAGAAGAATCCAAATGCAGTGGTACCTGCTTTGTTAGGACTGCTGCCTTCAGCCAAAGCCTTGCCTGTGTTCTCCTGTTGGATTAAGTGATATTGTATTAACAACAGGGCAGTCACAATCAAGTCTTTTGCCCATGAGTCTGCTGAGATTTTAGGCATATCTTGAATTTCTGAACTAAAGGGTATGTTTTCATGTGGTTTATTTCTGGCCTGGCTTGTTGGAGGTTGGAATTTTGAACATAGGTTGCATTTGTTTTTATTTTCATGCCACAGAGTAAGCCCCTGCTTAATGATGTGGTTACCTATTGTTTCTGCACAGGTCTTTTCCTTTTCTTTGGTCACTGTTTCAGTTTTTGTTGCTGCAAACCTCAAGTTCTGAGACTTTGAATCTGCTGTTTCTAAGCCTGACTTCACAGATGCGTACGTAAGGCTTTGAGACTGGGCCTTATCACCTGCTGGTTTTTGCACAATTAAAGTGTTATGCAAATGATTCAGCATTGCTTGTACAATTTCTGCAGCCTTGTGACTTCCTTGGTTGAACAGAGTACGCTTCACTGCTGAAACAAAATCTGAGTCGGTCATAAGTGTCCCTGTGATATTATGTAAATTTTTCATGCAGGAGTCTATTAAGTCTGAAACAACCTCTTTAGAATGCTTCAGTAAAACCTTCTTCAGCACCATACAAGCTATGCTTGAGTCACTTGCTTGAATTTTCATGGTCTTCATAACTGTGACCATCATGTCTGAAACCACATTATTTGCATATACCAGTATCCCTTTGCTTAGAGTATTCGTAAATTCATCTTGGCCAAAGCGCTTTTTATGATGGCATTGTTTCTGGTCATTGAACAATGAGCCCCTTTCATGACAAAACTCATTTCTATTGGAAGATTGTTGGTTTACTTCTTTATAAAATAATGTTTTCTTCTTGGAAGATGAATTGTCTTCATACTTGGTTTCCTTCAAATTAACATTCATTTGATCTGAATTCTCTGATGGGTTGTTTTTGCCTTCCTCGGTGCCTACTCCAATAGACTTGTGGCCTGGTTCCCCAAAAGTGGCAAAAAGTGACTTGTTTATGCACTGATCGGCACCATCTGACTTCTCGTTAATCTCTTTATGTGCCATTGAAATGACAAGGTTAGACAGTCTACTGACACAAAGAGAAAGCTTGTCGCCATCTTGCTGGGCCTCTGCAGAAGCAAGTTCACCTTCGGTGTCTTTTGGCTCCTTTTTATTCAAGGTATTTTTCATTTCCAAATGAAACTCTGGTGACCCACTGTTGGATCTGATGTCCATGCATAATTGCTTGTCATAGACACTAAAACCACCTGGTGAGGGTGCATTGCCTGGTTGGAGGCTGTGTCCACCCAGGGAAGGTTCCCTTGCAGTTTCCTCAGCATTTTGTTTGCCAGTAGAGTTCAGCACATCCTGGATTCCAAGTGCACATCTTTCAAGGTCTTTTCGGAGCCAAGTCAAGATTTTAAGTGGATCAGCTGCAGCTTGTTTGAAAAGTTTTGCTGAATCAGTCTAAGGATTAAAACAAAACAGAAATGTACAATGGTTAATTTCCCCAGTAGTTGGGTTCTTACAGTACAAAGCCTGTCAGAATTCTAGGAGTTATATGTAAAGGCCTGATGTAGCTTTTGCTGGCCTTTTTTGTACCAAAATATGAGTAATTGCATATCAAGTGCCAGTAATACTACACTGGAGGGCTGAAGAGGGATCTGGTTAATGCCTGATCTATGGCCTAGTAGCCAGGGCACTTTGGTGAGCAATGGAAGATGCAAGTTCAAACTATTTATGGATAAGATAGGTCTAGAACCTTGGTTCCCTGCTCCTTGGATGGGTCTTCCTACTCTGCTATCAGGCTAAAGCATAAAATTGTCCTCCTGCCCACCTGGGATTTTTCCCAGCTATGATTTTGGTATTCACCTGGTCTTACACACTTATCTAGGTGAGCTTACAGAACTGTGCACCTATCCAGCCAGGGCAGTCCTACTGAGCATGCTCAGGAGCCACCTGGGCACTTGTGCAATGCTTGTGCATGAACACTGCCCACAATTAAAATCACAAAAATGGCACTTACACTTGCAACTGCCATTTAGGTGTACTCATTTAGGTGAGTAAAGTGAAGGAAGAACTACCCCTCACTTCTAGTGCAGACTCACCTAATGATGTGAATAAAAAGACTCTTGGTGAATTGGGTAAGAGTTAGATCAGCGACAGTATTTGGAAGGAGTCTGGCCTCGTTCCCTGTGTAGACTGAAAAAAGCCTATGACAAGGCCTCATTGGTGTTTTAATGACTGTGCACACAGATGGTACAAAGCATAGGTAGATTTGACTTTAATGTCATTCACATGATTCATCAAGAAGTATTTCCCATGCCTATTAAAGACTGGGAGACTGTTTTTTAGTTTTAGTCTTCTGGCAGCGTTGACAAGCATGTTTGCTGTCAGGAAATGGCAACAACAGAATGAAGAGTAGTAAACCTGACCTGTTCTCATTTCTCCTTCCTTCTGAAATGTACTTACTCTGTAATGTGTGTCTGATGCCACATTCCAGTAGCTGGCTCACTCATGATAAGGATTCTTACTAGTGTCACCAGTTACAAGTCTGTGTGTGGAGCTGAAGAACTAATGCTCTAGTCACAGCTCCAAAGGCAATTTATCTAGCAGTGGTCTGTACTGTAGGGATTTCTTAACTAATTTTCCCTGGGGCTCAAGAACAAAATGTTCCCAGCCACAGTGAATAGCCAGGAAGTTCTTCCATGAGTCTATTTTGATACCTCCTCAGATTCAAAGCAAGGAGCCTACTGTGGATCTGAAAGCTTCCCATGTAGAGAGTGAAGGAAATACACAGCAGTTGTATTCATGCTGCTGTTCACTTAGTAACAATACTTTTGTCATGTCAGCATAACATGCTTAACTCTGGTAATTACTCTCAAGCAATCAGACACTACCCCTGTTGTGCATGGATTTTTTTTTCACAGCAACAAGGGAGAAAAAAATCATTTAACATAGGAATATGTTATTATAAAACCATGAGACTTGGCAAAGGGATTCAGGGACAAGACTTGTATCTCCAGCCATATTTATCTCACTTTTAAAATTACCCAACGATCTGCACCTGCAAGCCTAACTTAACTTTGTGACTTAGTCTCATCGACTGGAATGTGATTACTTACATGAGTAAACATATGCGGGCCATTGTTCAGAGACCTAGCTTTCATTTTGATAGTATCCCTTTAATACCTGGCCAATAGTGGTATGAGTTGAAGTGCCACAGGTGTTTACTTCTTCCTTTGAACCAGCTAGCACAAGTTTCTAGCAGCAGTATGTTGGGGAAATCCCCTCCAGGCTGTAGACTTTGGCCTATGAAGAGCCTGCACCTGAAGAATCTCTCCAGATTTAGCACTAGGTCCAGTGCTGGTTTGAAGAGCATATCAGGAGTCTGGTTGGTGCCGTATCCACTGTAGATGTGGTCAGTAGAAGTAGTTGGTGTTGAGTTTCAGTGACTTGTTCTAAGGGGCTCCCCACTCCCCTGCTACATCACAGGGCATGTCTACATGGGGAATTAATGTGACTGAATATATTCTGGTTCAATTTGAGCTGGAGTAAACTAATCCTGACAACACCGTCTATACGTGCATTTAAGCGCAGTAATTTACTGCACTGCTGGATAACACTTGTACAGACAGGATTATCCAGCAGCACAGTAAATAGTCTCCTGCACCCTAATTGTTGTGCATGTGTAGATGGTGATGCTTTACTGCATAGCAAATTAGTCGGCTGAGCAGTAAAGCATCTTTTGTAGACATGCCCACAGTATTTTCCACCACTGGTACCATCTCATTCATATTAGGGCTGTGCGAAGCTTCGGGTGCTGATTTGATTCAGAGGAGATCCAGCCAGATTCGGTGGCCAAATCTCCAAATCCAAATAGAATCAGGGGACCAATAAAAAGGTCTGAATTGATTCAAAGCTCTCCAGATCTTCAGAAAAGATTCAGACAGCTTCGATGATTTCGGCAGTCCCCGCCTGCTGCAGCATGGAGCTGGAGCTGGACTCAGAGCTGGTAAGTAGGGGGCAGGAGAGGGGGGAGGGGACTATGGGGGGGACCCCTTCCAGGCCCCATTCCCTACCTGCTCCCCCAGCCCCCATCCATGGCTGTCCCACCCACCCAGCTGCCAGTGCTTTAAAAAAAAGCTCCACTCATTGGGTGCTGCTGGGTGGGGAGGTGACGCCCTATGCTCCCCACTGGCCCATGTTGCATGGGGGGCTCTGCACGAGCCCCCAAGCCCTCCCCCCCACTGTCCCAGCCCCCCCATGGCTGCCCTGCCCACCTCAGCTCCTGGCCCTTTAAGAATAAAAAAACTGAAAAAAACCCCAGAACTCACCAGCTCCTGCAGTGGCCTTGGGGTTTCGGGGGGCTCATGGAAGAGCCCGCTATGTGGCATGGTGCAGTGGGTGGGGAAGCGGGGATTGCCCCCCACCAGGCAGGCAAAGGTGAGTCCAGGGTTTTTGATTTTTTTTTTTCCTTAAAGGGCTGGCGCTGGGGTGGGGCAGCCATGTGCTGGGGCTGGGACATTACTATACTTTTGGTGACAGAGCTCTGTCTATATGTGTATGTGTAGATAACATCTACAGCTACATCTACATCATCTATCTATCTATCCAAATAGATAGATATGGAAATGAATATAGATATTCCCACACAACTACACATACATATGTGTATATATGTACAAGACCATGTCTTCCTCTTATCCTTCCTCCTTGTGGGTCTCCTTTCATACACATCCTCATTCCACCCTTCCACTTTGGACCACTTGCCTTTCTGCTCCATGATTTCCTAAGTACTGTAAGCTCACAGGCATATAACCTATACCAACAATAAAATAAAGATTAAATGCAAGGAAAACTATTCCAGGTTTGTGTATCTTTCATCCTTCTGCCTCCCCTCATTATCCCTCATCTCTCTTACTGTTAGTTTCATCCCACAAATGAAAAGTTCCAGTATGTTCACATCTACTGTATCTAGTTTCATTCCAAACAGATTGAAACCTAGTAAATTGATCCGTTATACAAAGAGCTTTGCAACAGCCTGCTGGTTTCATGTTGATCTTTGCCTGTAACATTATTTAGAGAGTCAAATGAACCTGAAACTGTCAGCAAAATGGAAAGTGTACAACCCCCCTAAGTCTAAATGGATAGAAAATGTGTGTGGAGTCAATCTAACAAAAGCCAAGAATAACAACAACTTTCACTATGATTTTGCTTTCTGCTTTTGAATGTGCCACAAATTCTCTGTGGATCCATTTCTGTCAACCTTATACACACATATCTTATTCTGTAAATATTGGTAATTCTGGTGAATTCCTAGCCCTTGCACCCAGGAAATGCATCTTCTGAGTCTAACTCAGAGTAAGTCTGGTGAGTTCAGTGGAGTTAGTTTGGATTTACACAAATAAAGAATCATGCCCCTTATCACGAGATGAGTGAATTTAGATTTCCACCAGTGAAACCAATAACAGACATATTTATATTTATTCATAAATGTAAATATTTATTCTCCTGAATAGGAATCTTTTAGTATTTACGTACTGTGCAGTAAGTATGGTGACTTACACCAACTTGAGTGTAAATTTTATATCTGTGCCATGCAGGTAACGAATTTATATCTGATTAATTACTGTGCAGTAATGCATGTGTAAACGTGTTACTGTGCAGTAACTTTGTGTGTCCCAAGACAGTCCATACACACAGTGTTAATGTGCTTTAACACCTGCACATGTAGATGCTGGCCTATTCCTGCTTACTTATTGTGTAGTATATTTAGGCTGCTGTAAATGCATGTGTAAACATGCTCTGGGTGCATCTACACTTGCATTTAATCCAGGACCAGTTTACTTGCAAGTATATTACTCATGAGTAAATGGTCCAGGACAGGCATCTACATGTACAAGGATGTGGGAACAGATTTTGCTGCTCCTAGCTGTAAACTGCTCCCATTTCCTGCAGCCCTACAATGGGCCCCTGCTGCTTGAGTCTCCAGCTGCACCTGACAGCAGCCGGCAGCCATCTTCAAAAGGCAGCCTCACTCCTTGCTCCCTGGCCAACCACTTTTCTGGCTGGGGGCCCGCATGCAGCGACTGCCTCCTCATGCCATGGCTGCTCCATCCCCTGCCCTTGGCAACAATGCCCAGTGTCCAGGCTCCTGCTGGCCATGGTGCTGGCCCTACTGGCCCCAGCCACCGAGGCCCCAGGCAAGCTGCACACCTGCCAGCGGAAGTCAAGGCATCAGCTGTGAGAGGCACTGGCTGACCACTTTCTCTTGCACTTCCTGCTGTAGCCTGCCTGGACAGCCACCCACAGACCCCATCATCCACCCTCAGCACCATGCTCACTGCAGACAGTTCTCAGGAAAATACTTTCTTGACCTCACAACAAACAGATCTCCCCTCCCCACTCAACAAGAGAGCCCGTCTGAACTCCCTCCCTCCCTCCCCAGCAACAGAGCCCCATCATCATCCACCCCCTCCACCAGCAATAAAACACCCTCTTCTCAGTGCAAGCTATTTACAACAAGTGAAGTGCTATGGTTGTGTGCATGAACTCCCAGCGTGGGTGGCCATGTGGTGGGGGCACCTAAGGGGGCAGAGCCTGAGGACACACAGCCAGCACCCTGGCCTCCGGCTGTACCCTCATGGGTGCGCATGCTACAGTGAGTCTGGTGGGCAGGGGGCTCACCCAGGGGAAATGGTGATGGCTCATCCCCTAGTGCAGGTGGCTCCTCCAGCAGTTGGTTGCCAGGGCTGTCAGGGCCAGCACACAGTCCTGGCCCTGCTGCAGGCAACTCTGGCTCCGTGCCCTCATGGTGCCAGGATGAGTGCTGGGCCTGGACCCAGGCAGCAGGGGCTGGGTGGTGGGGGACCCAGGGTGGCGGGCCGGAATAGGGGATCCTGCTCAGTGGAGGTGATTCTGGACCTCTGCCTAGGCCTATGAGGGGGCTGTGCTGCTGGGTGGGGGCCAACTGCCAGGGGGTACGCAGGGCTGTGATTGGTGGCAGGGTATTGAGTGGCACGAAGGCACCCACCAGGGCCAGGATGGTGTCTAGCACCTGATGGTCCTCCTCTGTGGTCTCCACTGCCCTGGCCATGAGTGCAACCTGGTCCCTTCGGGCCTCCATGTGGTCCTGCTCCAGGGCCAGTAGCTGTGCCCTGAATTCCCATGTGTCCTTGTGAGCAATGTCCTCTACCCACCACCTTTCCTGGTGGGTGATGTCCTCCACCCTCCACATCCATGCATCCGCAAGCTGATCCTCCATGGCTGTCACCAGCTGGGCCAGGAGGAGGTTCCAACCCTGGGCCCTCCTCCTGCAGAGCTGGTGCATCTGCAGGGCCCTGGCTGTGGGTGGCAGTGACCCTGAGGCTTCATCCTGGCTGTCAACTGCAGCCTCTCCCCTGCATTCAGGTGGAGGGTCTGCAGAGTCATGAGAGAGAAGCTGATTGTGAGAGCTTGCAACATTTCTGAGATAAGATGCTCTTACTAGGGGCCCATGCACTACCTGGCCTCAAATCGGGAGTTGTGCATGCACGGGTGCCAATGAACCATGGTAAATCAGCCAGGCAGGTGTAGGCCCAGGTGGCTGCTGGCCAAGCCGCCTGTTCTCACTTGCTCCCCAGGGGCCAGTGGGCTGTTGAGTGCTGGCTGCAGGTAGTCTGCCTCCCTCACCCCATTCCCACGCCAGGACAAACCTGAATCTTGGCAGCACCTGCTGCCTTGTGTTCATACCCTGCTCCCCACCCTTCCTCTTCTGCAGGCTAGCCTGTCTCCTGTGCTGCCACCAAGCCCATGACACCCAGGCTTGGGGGAATATGGGGCTCCCTGATGACTGGGACATGGAGCTGTTGATGCTTCCACCTTCCCTACAGGGGTCCTCTCTAGGGAGGCATCCCAGGGCCAGATTCCCACCTGCCCCCTGCCCCCACCCCCAGCTGCTCTGTGCCCCAAGCATGCCTCCCAGTATGTGTCTCGGGCACTGCACAAGGAGATGTTTGTGCAGACTGAGGGTGCCTGACCCACTATGCCTTGCTTCTGCTGATGCCATGGTGCCCCAGATGCATGTGCCATGGTGCCCTGGGCCCCTGTCATGGGACTCTGAGCTTTGATGGTGTGGGGGGCAAGCCCGAGTTCCTCTGCAGCCTCAGCCACCACATGGAGGGCTACCTGTGGCTGCACTACACATACGTTTCCCCCACAGTCAAGAAGAACATTGCCACCAGCATCAATGCATTTCTCAGGGTGTGAGAGGCCCATGCCCATCTAGCTGTGGGGGCACAGGCTGCTCAATAAAGTTTTGCACTGTCTCCTGCCTCCCTACTTGCTGTGGGGGAGGAGGCCAGGGGGCCAGCGGATTGTGGCCAGGCTGGGCAGACAGGAGGGCAGGGCCCAGGCCAGAGGCCAGGGGCTGGGGACCAGGGGTAGGGGCTGGGCCAGGGAAGGCCTTCCCTCAGTGTGTGGCTTACCATATTGGCATAGCTGGCGTGCCCGGTGGCCCTGGTTGGTTCTGGCTGGCAGTGATGGCATGTGGCTCCCAGCAGACAGTGGAGTGCAGCATGTGAAACCCAAGGCCAGGGCCCCCCTGGGGAGAAGCTGGCATCCGGCAGTGACATGGCTGGTCATGCCTCATGGCTGGGGCTGAGGTCTCAGAGCTGTTGGTGCAGGCATTGGCCTGGGCTCCCCAAGCTGCTGGTGGAGGCTGGGGGAGAGGAGATCAGTGGGACAGGTTGCAGGCAGCTCTAGGGGCCCTCCCCCAGTGGCACATCACTGTGGCTGCCAGGCCAGAGTGGGGGCTTGGACAGGCTGCCAGTGCTACACAGCACACTTGAGGCCTGGGTCCTGGGGCGCAAGGATGTTAGTCAGCTGCTGCATAAAGGGCATGGACTTATGGGCACCCCCCAACTGAGAGTTGTGGTCAGTGATCATAACACACTGTGCCTACAAGACCTTGACCATTATGTATGACTGCTGCACCAACCAGTTGTGCCAGTGCCCCCACATCCAGCTTGACAGCCCCTTCTAAACATGCACATTGGAATGCCTGCCCTGCATGAACTGCTGCTGCACCTCCACCTCTCCCCACAGCACCACAAGGTTGATAGTCTCCTCTGCCAGTTGAGGTCCTGGGTGGTGGGGTGTGGCATCAGAGATGATGCCATTGGGCCTCCCACGCCAGCTCTCTGGGCCTCTGTGTGGCTGTCCCTGTACTGCTGGGCCTGGGCAGCTCCCTGCAGCACCCAGCTCAGAGACAAGACATGGTTCTAGCGTTGCATGGCGCATCCATGCCCCACAGCACCTGCAGGGTCTGGGCAGGATGCTGGGGGTTGGCTGTGGGCAGCTGGAGCTGGATCTGGTGGCTAGGAGCTGCCTGCAGCTGGGCTGGGGTGCTGGCAAGCTGCCACAGGTAGCCTGTGGCCTGTGCAGGGGGAGCAGAGGCCAACAGTCACCCCAGGTTCCCTGCTTTTGTTTTCCAGGGCTTAAAATGCGTGCAGGTTTTTAAGGGCCTAAGGCTGCGGCAGGCATAGAGGCAGTCCAGCCCTGGGGCAGGAGAGGCTCCCAACCCCAGGGCCCTAGGCCTGAGCTAAGGCTATCCCCCCTAGTGGCAGGACTGACTGGGAGCAAATTTGCTCTTGGTCAGCATCTACATGTGCATTACTGTGCAGTAACTACTCGTGAGTAAATTTGCTACTTGAATTTGTGGGCAGCAAATTTACTCACAAGGAATGAAGTTTACTGCACATGTATAGACATGCTTGTTCACTGTGCAGTGAACTACACTACTGCGCATTAAAGCATCTCACATAGATGCACCCACTGTTTTCCCTGCTCAAGCTAGCCTTTGTTCTAAAATTTTGCTTTCTGTTAGCTGCTCCTGAAGCTCCTATTTCAGAGCCCTGCAGATGGTTTTTAAATCATTCCAATGAAGTTATATTTGTTTTTACTTCAATCTTAAATTGGATAATACAGCCCTAGGCACCTAGTTTATTAGTAAAGCTTCTATTTTTTTAACTCGAGAAGAATATGTGTTGTTTTATATGTGATGATGCACCTCACCATCTGCACCCCGCTTTTCAAAATTCTAGATCTACCCATGATGAAAGATACAGAATATACAGTTCAAAGGAGTCTAAATTTGGGATATACCATTGCAAACATTAGTTTTCAATCAAACTAATTGCACAGCAGAGCACCCTGTTTACTAATAAATTCTCTGGTGAACTGAATATAAACACACAGAGACAATTCACTTTTCATAGTTTGTGTTGTGCTTTTGTTAGCAATTTCTCTTTCCTGTTCTTTTAAGGAAAATAAATGTATAAAATATGAAAAGTAAACATTTTCTTACTGTCCAGTTTTGTTCATTTTCATGTCCGGGTAAATAATGTTCCACTTTACAGAGTCCCCTTTGGCTTTGTATCCAGTCAATGTTATCTGCCATCTATGGTAAGACAAAAAGAAATCTAATTATAGGATCATAGAAAAGTAAGGCTGGAAGGGACCTCCAGAGGTCATCTAGTCCAATCCCTTGCTCAAGCCAGTATGAACCTTATCCAAGCCATTCCATATAAGTGCTTGTCTAATGTATTCCTAAAACTACATAATTAATCCCATCACACAACTACAAGTCATATTGCCTAGGGACATCAAAATCAGCCAAGCCTACCACAAGCAAAGTAGGGGGATAAGGACTATGGTGTCCCACCACTGCAAGGGGAGAGACAGGGATGAATGTGTACAATGCATGGACAATGAGTGAAGAACTACAGAAATCTTAGATGTATGATCTGAGAATGAATAAAATTTTCACACAGAAACCAAAATTTCAACTTGGCAGTCGTCACCTAGAGAGGATTTTGCATAGAGGATTACATATATCAAACAATAGTGTTTGACAGCTGTTGAGAGCTTGAGCATGTTGAGAGATGCCTTGAACTCTTTTAAAAAGTCTGAGAGGGGATCCCACTGTCAGCTAATAAGCCAGGATTTTGAAGAATAAGATTGCAAATTTTAAAAATCTAGGCAAAGGAATATATTCCATAAACTTCCCAAAAGAGCAAAAAGTTCCAGTCCAACCCTTTGCTTCAAAATACCTCTCCCAACATTTTCAGAACTGAACATAAACAAATATAAAATACAAAAACTCACTTTTTTCTAGGTCATGTTCTGAAACTTAGGGAAAGTCTGAACAAATAATGATTTGTCCTTATAGTGTTGAAGAACTGCTCCTGTAGGCAGCCATGTAAAATCAGAACCTAAAATAGAGAAAAAATATATCTGATTTTAAAATATATTTCAAAAGTGGCACTACTAACCTCCAGTTTATATCTAGCTTGCGAAATAATTTGTAGGACTACAAGTGTCTCCATATGCATGAGATGAAGAAATTAAAAATCACATTGTGCAATGGTGTCATTGTGTTAAAGTTCTATTTTATGCCAGAAATAAAATATGAGGCATATGGAGGAAAGAAAGAAACAGAAGCATTTCAGGACAAAATACCTAACCTTTCAAGTACTCTTACTACAGTGTAAATAAAACAGATTCAAATGTCATGGTTATTAAAATTGTAGAAAGATACAAAAATAGTTTAGATGTCAATAATCAGTTGGATATTGTCAGGGTGCTATGTACTACATGGCTGTAGATTTGCCACCTTATTACTTATAATGGAGGTAGCCTACTGAAATGAACACAATACAGTCATGGTCAAGCATCCTAAAAACATGAACTCTGAGAGATGCCTTTAATCTGACTATCTAATTATGCAAAATCAATTATTAGGCTTATTTCACATGTTAATCGCATCCCACACATCAAGTGCCAAAGGCCTCAGCTGCGCTCAACTAGTTTCAAAATGCCCAGCTTATACCAGACAGTAATTTCTAAGAGCATTATCCACTTTCAACACAAAATCTTGCATAACCATAATATTCTGACAAAGCATAACATAAATTAAATTGAGTTTCAAAATAACTGAAAGGACACTGTACTCTCAGTGGGTACATCTACACGTGAAATTAATAAGGTGCAGCACAGTTTGCACTAGATGGTATTGATCCTGGGTGCAGCACTTACACATGCGCCTGGGACTGCAGCACCTTGTGGTGGGGCGGAACAGCCCTAGCTGGCAGGGGGCCCTTGGGGTTAGCCTGTCAGCCTAGGGCTGCTCTGGCTTGACTCAATGTGCTGTGGTAGGGCTGGCTCGGGCACGAGGGTGCTACAATGAAGGGCTATCCAGCAGGCAGCCTCATGCTGTAGCACCCTCATGCCCCAGCCAGTTCTGGTCAGAGTCTACATGTGTGTTGCAGCAGAATAAATAAGGTATAAATAGTAGGATATCACTTGTGATGGGCAGTACTATCCAGTGGTGGAGTTAATTAGTTTACTCTGGCCTAATATCACTGCACAAGTAGATGCTGATGCTCATTAGTCAGATCCGCAATAAACGTCTTGTGTAGATGCTCCCAGTGTTATTCATTATGAGTGACTGAGATGGATTCATAACTCTTTTAGACTTCTGTCCTATCAAGACTGTGTGCTTAATTTTATACACAGTGGGTACATCTACATGTGCCATTAAGGTCAGAAATGGACATCTGTATGTGTGCTCGGAAGCACAGCAGTTTGAGCTGGGGCAGAGCAGCCCCAGGCTGGCAGCAGGCTTGAGGGGGGTCAGCCCCGGGCTTTGGTGGCAGTGTCAGGCAGTGGAGGGGTTGGCTGGGGGATGAGAGTGCTGCAACTGTGGAGCCATGTAGCTGACTCCCTGAGCCTGTCCTCCCCGGCTCAAACTGCCGGGGTCCTGGTCAATGTCCACACGTGGATTTCAGCACAGTAAATGACTCTGCCATAAGATAGTACTGTCCCAGACAGTACTATCCAATGGTGGAGTTAATTAATTTACTGTGTCCTAATACTGGCACGCATGTAGATGCTTTACTGCAGAGCTAATTAATCAACTCCACAGTAAAGCACACATGTAGATGTACCCAGTGAGATGTTCTACTGAGTTCAACCTCCAGCATGTAAGGTTAAGGATATGCAAACATCTCCTTGGAAAATTCCATTCTGTTGTATTTCAACAAATAAAGCTTCTTTTTTTTTATGTATCTGAGGATGCCACGGAAACTCGTCCTCTGCACTAGCAAGTGACAGGATTCAGGTGAAGCTTGCCACAAAGTAAACACAAACAGTTTCCACTGTATCATTGGTTTCAATTATATCACATATCCCTTCACAATCTATATCACAAATAGATGAATTAGAGAGCCATTGTCAAGTTCTTGTTTATATTGCTCATTATGTTTATCTACTACTGTTTCAAATGGCCAACTAAGATTATAATCACCAGAAGTGGTGAAAGAAAGAAAAACTCTGTTACTTTGTGCATTTGATGTTTTGTTCATAGCCACTTCCTGTATTTTCTCATTTTCATGAATTTTACAAAGTGCAACAGATGGGCAAAAACATTTAGAATGGTTGGAAAAACTTGCTTAAAAACCACAAAAATGGTCATGGAGACTCAGCAACAGCTGTGGTCCTCAAAATAACTTTTATCGAAGTTGTTTGAAAAGAACTATGTTTCAAGTTGACTGTGTCTCTAAACGAAAAAAAAAAAAAAGAAGTGTCGGGGCATTATTCACTCTTTGAGTTGCATTAAATGAACATTGGCCATGAGCCAGTGGTGGTAGAAAGCCTGTCCTGGTTGAGTGAAAGTGGAATGGAAGCCCCGTGCTGTCAGCTATATATATAAAGGTGGTTGGGGCAGATCTAGCTAAGAAGCAGATGGGAACAGGGCACCCAGGAGATGCTGTGATCTAATAGAGCTATGACATTATGCATATTCAAACAGTTTGATCCTGGTCCACCCCCCCCAGTGTCATTATTTGACTGACCAGACAAGTGAATCCCTCATCAGCAAATGGCATCCTTTGGTGCCTGTGGAGAGGGCAATGTACTTAAGATTCATATAGCATAGGCAACAGAAAGATGTGAGTTTTGCTAATCGTGTTCAGCAATGTTTAACTTAGATGCCAGACTAGATTTATCGAGGCTGCAGGAAAATGTAAGTTATATCTCCTTCCAGCAGCCTATATCCTTGAGCTGCAGCTAGGGTACAAGTTTGTTGTTGCTCCCTGATCACCTTGGAATTTTCATGGGAAAGATGTAGCTTTTCAGACCTAGAGTAGAGGAGGTGGTACTTCAACACTTCTCACCTTCACTCTGCACCTGCTTTGTGCTGGGCTTCTCCTAGCCCAATAGTAGAAAAAGGGTATGCACCCTGCACATTAAGCTATTTAATTTCCTACATCATGGCTCCCAGTGCCTACTGCTGAATATCAGGTTCCATGAACATAAACTCTGGACTGAATTCAGCTTGCTACAGCTCTCAGTTTAGTGTTAGGTCAATTAAAAGCAGGACTTTACATGGGTGCTAAAATGTTTTGTTTAAATAGGACAGTTCTTCACAAAGTTGGGGATAATTTTTGTTACCACTTTCCTGAGCAGAAAGAAGCAGGGAGACACTTCTGCTATTACAGTGACAAATGGGGTGGGGGGTGGAGGGAACAATTCAAAGTATTATGAAAGTGGTAAAAAATTACATGTAACTATAAAAATAGGGGAAGTTGCAGAGCTGGGATCATATCCTAAAAAATATACTATCGGGGGTGTGGAAAGGAACAATTCTATATATATGAAGGGCTTAGTCCATCTGTCTGTGTGTGTGTCTGTCTGTCAGTAATGCTCATGGAGAACTCTGATTGGTTGTCTCCCCACACCGTTGGGGGCATGGGGTGGGGGTGTGGGGCATGAGGC